CGAGACTCGTCTCATCCTCAGCCAGCGGACGGTGATGCCACGTGTGCTGGGCACAGCCCTCTCTGGGGGGTAGAGAACCAGCGGGTGGTGCCCGCCCGCCGGGGCCAGAACCCCGGGCCCGCATGCTGGTGTCTCAGGTGCTGGTCGCAGGTGTCCTGGGCCTCAGGGGGCCACAGACCAACAGGAAGTGAGCGGGAGGGAGGCAGGAGGGAGGGTGCCGAGTGCCACCGGAGGAGCCAGAAGCGGTGTCCAGTCTGTGACTCCATCCCACCTCCCATCTGTCTGCTTTTCCTTTCCATTCTCCCTCCCTCTCCCTCTCCAGTCCCTCCTGGTGGCCAGCAGGTGAGGGCAGGGGCTGGGAACTCCTGCTGGCATCCCGTCTCTGAGACGCTCCACCACACGCCCTGGCAGTGGACAGGTAGAGTGGCTAGAAACTGGGACGGTTCCTGGAAGGCCAAGTGGTTGCTTTTTTTGGGGAGCTTAGCGACCTCCATAGAGATGCCCTCCTCAGGGAGCAGCAGGACCTGGCGGAGGGGCTGTCCGTGGTGCTGAAGCGGGGTCCGCCCCGGTGGCCTGGCCCAGCGCTGGTTCCTTCTGCAGGAGACCCTCCCCCGCTTCTCCCTCCCCCCGCTTCTCCCTCCCAGCCCTTCGCCTCCTTCCGGAGGAGTGGACTCAGCCCTGTCAGGAAGGGAGTAGCCTTCTTCTGTGGGATCACCCGGCCCCATGGCAGCCTGACCTCTCACATCACAGCAGCCTGCACAGCTCAGCGACTGCCCCGTGGGAAGGAGGCGAGTTCTGTCGGGTGCTGTAGGGAGCTCCAGCAGATACAGGGTCTTCGGGGGCAGAAGACAGGACTGCCCAGTAACGTAGCGAGGCCTGGGTGTCCTCCATCAGGGAGGGACAGTGTCCGTGTGGGCGCCTTTCCTTAGCGTGGGCTGCGGTTGGAGCCCTGCAGTTTGCTCAGTGGTTAGCGCGCCGGGCCTGGGACTGAAGGGTCACAGGCTCCATTCCGGTCGAGGGCACGTACCTTAGATGCAGGCCAGATCCCCAGGCCCAGTTGGGGTGCATACAGGAGGCATCCAAGGCACGTACCTTGGATGCAGGTAAGCAAGATGTTTCTCTCTGTGTGTCTCTCCCACTCTCTACAAATCAATGGGAAGATATATACTCAGGTTAGGATTAACCAGCAGAACGAAGTCATTCTCTGCGTGGTTAGGGTGGGAGGGAAGAGGGATGTGTGTGGATGAAACGTGGCTGTTTGAAAGAGCAGCACTGTCTGCCTGCCCCAGCACGCTGCTCAGGCCCCTCCTGCCCTGTCCCCCCCCCCGCTCTGCCCCCCTGCCCTGCCCCCCCCGCTCTGCCCCCCTGCCCTGCCCAGCCTGGAGGCTCCCCAAGCCCCGACCCTGAGCTGGGGACGGCAGCCCAAGTCCCCCCCTCTGGCCTCACTCCTGGTACGAACGGAGTGTGTGCGGGTGGTTGGCCTAGAAGCTCTTTAAACCTTTTTATTTTCCCGAGTTAAGCCTGCCACCTGCGCCTCCCATCCCCTGCCCTGTCTTCCACCCCCGTCCCCCACGTCGCCGTCCGAGTTTAAGGACCGGGGTGACGAGGGGGAACCGAAGCTTTATGGCCCCCGTTTCCACTCCCGGGAAGACAGGTCTGGAGCCCGAGGCCCCGGCCACGTCTGCCGCCGGCTCCTCCGGCTTCACTCAGGAGAGCAGAGCAGCTGGTTGCCAAGCAACGCGCGTCCCCGGCTGCTTCCCGCAAAGTGGACGTGAAAACCATCCTGATGGCTCCCGCGTGGGGGTCCCGTGGGGGACCCGGGGCAGACGGTGTGCCCCGACATCACACCGATCTCTTCTGTCCTCGGTGCCTCTTCCTGAGCACGCGGGCGTGGGGTCCGCGGGCTCATCCCGAGAAGCTTCCTGGGACGGCCGCGCCTTGTCGCCTGCAGAGTCCGCGTGACAAACCTGGCGACTCACCAAGATGCACGTGTAACCCCGCATCGCGACGCGTGTCCCTTCCTGTCTCCCTCTGACGTGCTGATGGCGTGTTCCCGGCCGGGCTGAGGGAGGCGTCGCTCTGCCCTCTCACCCTTCGGCCTGGGAACACGCATCTTCTCACGGTCTGTGCAGCGGGGCCCGCGTTCTGCACCTGTGAGCTTTCCGTTGGTGATGTCACTGTTTAACTTACCCCCCCAATCTCCTCCCCCCCGCCCCCCCTCCCACGCCCCAGTGAGGCCTGTGGGGCCGTCAGAGTTCCCTCGGGCAACAAGGCTGGGCGTGCCTTCTGGGCTCCTCCGTTCGCTGTTGGCATGAATTTAATGTCCACGAAACAACGTGGTGCCTCCGGGAAGAGGAAGAGGAAGAGGAAGGATTCATGGGTCTGTGGCCAGGCTGGTGGGGAAAGTCTCACGTGTATGATGGTCCCGGCCGGTGGCTCAGATGGTCGGGGTGCCGTCCTGTACACCAAACGGTCCTGGGTTCGACCCCCAGTCCGAACTCGTGCGGGAGGCAACCAATCGATGTGTCTTTCCCACGTCAGTAAAAACATAATCCGCAGGTGAGGGCTACAAAGTAAAAGGAGATTTAAAAATAAAGTGTGTGATGGGAACGTGGCTTGTGGTATTTGTCGCTCATGAGACGAGGACTGATTAAGTAAGCGCAGTGGGCAGGGCCGCCGGGAGCTCAAGGCCACAGGGATGTCCGGTCCTGTTGCTCAGGGTCAGGAGGGTGATGCCCTCCACAGCCAGAGTTTCATTGTGAGGAAATGAGTGCTTTATTAGAAGGAAGTTATAATAAATTAGTGCTTTAACATAAGGATATTAGTGTTTTATTTCAAGGAAATTAGTGCTTGTAATTCATTCTTTGTAATCAATACGGTGTCTTGGAACAGAAACACATATGCAACCAAGTTATGTGTTGACCTCCCGACCCGTGACCCAGGCCTCTGGGCCCCCACCCATGTGTTTCCCGGGAGTAGCTGTGCCGTGTGCAGACTCAGTGCTAACAGAACTGCTGTCACGAGAACTAAGAACCGGCTGTATGTGCGCACAGCTGAACCCCATGGGCACTGTCTACACACACACAAGTGCACACACACACACACACACGCACACACACATGCACACACACACATACACACGTATACACACATACACACTTGCCCCGGAGGACTGCCACTGCCCGGTCAGGTGCGGCGAGCAGAGCCTGACTGCCCGGAGGGGCAGACGTGACTTCCCCTCGGTGGAGGGCCTGCTGGTGGCTGTAGCGCCCCCTCTGGATGCGTTGTGAAAGGCGTTAGAGGTTTTCAGGCAGGCCCGCTCCTCCTCCATAGCCCAGAGTTCGCGGGTCTGGGCTGCTGTGACAACTACCACAGATGGGTGACTTCTACCACGGGAATTTATTTAGCAGTCGGGGGTTTGGGTTTTAGACCATGGCATCGCAGATTCAGGGTCTGGAGAGGCCCCACCTCGTGGTTCCTGGACAGCGTCTTGCCATAAGCTCACGTGGTGGGGGGGGGGGGTGAGGGGACTTCTGGGGCCTCGTTCGCAAGGGCACTAACTAGTTCATGGGGGCCCCACCCTCCTGGCCTAATCACCTCCCAAAGGCCCACCTCCTAACACCATCATGTGAATTTGGGGAGGACACACATTCAGCCCCTCTCCCTCTCCATCCTGTCGCTGTTTGTTTTGCTTGAAAGGAAACCCTGGCATATTTTTTAATTGCCCTGGAACTGAGCCTGAGTGATCCCAGCAGCCCCAAACTGGCACCTGAACTGGTCCCAGATGGAAAGGAAAAATGATTGTCCTCACACCCGTCTCTCCTCCCCAAGGCTGATGGAGGTCACGTGAGAAATGTCCTCCCCTCTCCCAGGTCTGATCTCTGAGGACGGTGGCCTGCGTGTCACACTCAGTCAGCCGAGCGGGCCCATCCCCCTCAGGGAGCTGTGCAGGGGGCTGACGGGCACAGAGGGGAGGACAAACCCCTCACTGACCTTGTGACACACAGAGGGGTGTGAGCTGAGTGCACGAGTGTGAGCTGAGTGTGCATGGATGTGAGCACACATGGGTATGAGCTGAGTGCACACGGGGTGTGAGATGAGCGTGCACGGGTGTGAGCACACATGGGTATGAGCTGAGTGCACACAGGGTGTGAGATGAGCGTGCACGGATGTGAGCTGAGCGTGCACAGGGTGCCTGGGCAGTGGGCTGCCTCCCGAGGTGAGCTGAGGTGGCGGTAGCTGAGCAGACATGTGGCTGGAGTGGAGCCACCCTCTAGCTCCAGGCAGGGCGGAGCTGGAACAAGAACAGGGATGGACTGGAGCCCCCTCCAGATCCCGTTTGAAGGTCCCAGAGACGTGTACATGCCTGGGCCTCCTCGGGCTCAGGGTCTGGCTCCTCAGCCTGCAGTCCCCCGAGGTGGTTTTCCAGGAGGCTCCGGGTTCGGTGCTGCCTGAGGCTCGGGCTGTGTCTGTGTCGTCACTGTTAGGAACAGGAATCCCTTTACCGCACTCTGTGCGAGTGTGAGTTACCGACAACAGTGAGAAGCTGGTGTGACTCCTTGGCAGAGGGGCCTCTGCATGTTTTATAAACACCCGGATCTTCAACACACGCTCCCAGCTGGGCACTGCCTCTGTGGCAGGGTGCCCGTGGTGGGCAGGGGTGTTCCATGTGCAGGGGTGTCCCGTGAGCAGGGGGGGTGTCCCATGAGCAGAAACTACCGGGAAAGGGACGTGTGTGCGGCTAATGATGGCATCACGGGTCACAGCCGTCGTCCCCTCTGTCCCAGCCTCTGTGCAGTGCCATCTGGGCACAGACAGGGTGCCGTCACGGCCGGGCTCCGGGGCCAGGGGCGGCGCTGACATAAGCTCTGTCCTGGGTGAGAACCTTGCCCGGCTGCCGAGTGCCAGAGAGAGCCGACGGTCCGCCCGGAGAGCCCCCTGCCCGCAGCGGTGCCCGCTCAGGCCCCCGTGCCCGCTCACGCCCCCGTGCCCGCCCGCAGGGACAGCAAGCTCACCATGCTGCTGCGTGAGTCCCTGGGCAATGTCAACTGCCGCACCACCATGATCGCCCACATCTCGGCCGCCGCCGGCAGCTACGCCGAGACCCTGTCCACCGTCCAGATCGCCTCCCGCGTCCTGAGGATGAAGAAGAAGAAGACGAAGGTGGGAGCTCGCGGGGTGGGGCCAGCTCAGCGGTCTCCCCATCCCCGAGGAGGGGGGTCAGGGGGAGCGGGCTCAGTCTCCAGCTGGGACACGAGTGTCCATCACTTCCGGGCCCACAGTTGCCGGCTTTTGGGGTCGTCCGGAGTGCTGTCCCCTGTGCACGGCCACATGTGGGGACGGGAAGGGCTCACGCACAGTGGCTCCCTCCAGCCGTGGCCCCACGTAGACCAAGACCATGTCTCCTGTCCCGCCGTGGCCGGCCCCCAGGACTGCTCACCCTCGTTCGGGCGGCCCTCCCCCTGCGCGTCCAGGAGGCCCTTTCAGGCTGCTGGGCTCTGCCCGTGCGGTCAGGGGTGGCTGGCTGGTGCTCAGAGTCCGCTTCCCGCCACTGGCTCACCTGCCAGCAGAGGCCACGCTGGGCCAGCGGGGGCGAGACGACCGTGCGGGGAAGTGGCTGGTGGTGGTCGCTCCCTCCGATCTGGGCCGGCTGGCGACGTGGGCTTCCCTGTCCTTCCTGTAGCTTTTCACAAATGACAGAAAGCAAGTCCTTCCAACCTGAGTCTCGTGGGACGAGGGGCCACAGGGACCTGGGGGCCAAGTCAGGGACCCCTCGCCCGGCCGGCTGGTCGCCCCTCAGGAGTGACTCTGTCCCATGGGCCACGCAGGGGCTGCCCTGGCACCTGAGGCGCCCTGGCCTGGCACAGCCAGCAACTGCCCACGTGCAGGGCAGCCGGCCAGCAGCCCGGGAGCCTATGGCCAACCGGCCTCCCCGGGGGTCCCTGGGGCCGCCCCGCTGACCGTCCTCTCGCCCACAGTACACATCCAGCTCATCGGGGGGCGAGAGCTCCTGCGAGGAAGGCCGGATGCGCAGGCCCACACAGCTGCGGCCCTTCCAGGCCAGGGCGGCCGTGGACCCTGACTCCCCCGGCCCGCCGCTGTCCAGCGACCCCGACTACTCCTCCAGCAGCGAGCAGTCCTGCGACACCGTCATCTACATCGGGCCCAGCGGCACGGCGCTCTCCGACAAGGAGCTCACGGACAACGAGGGGCCCCCCGACTTCGTGCCCATCGTGCCGGCCCTGCAGAAGCCGCGGGGCGACGGCCGGCCCCCCGAGGCCGGGGCGGGGGCCGTGGCCGCGGCCGCCCGCAAGCCCGAGAGGGACTGCCTCAAGTGCAACACGTTCGCCGAGCTGCAGGAGCGGCTGGACTGCATCGACGGCCGCGAGGAGCCCGGCCCCTTCCCCTTCCAGGAGCTGCCCGCCCAGGGCCCCCCGCCCGGGGCCGGCCTCTGCGAGCCCGACAAGGACGACGACGCGGGGCCAGAGGGCCGGCTGGCCGACCGGGGCGGCGCTGCCGCCCCGGCCCCCGGGACGCCCGGCGGTCACTCGCCCGTGCCGGCCGCCGCCCCCGCCTCGCCCCGGAGCGTCCCCGGCGGCAGCGGCCAGCAGGGCGGCACCACCTCCCAGCTGGTGCGCAGCCCCAGCCTGCAGAGCAGCCGGGAGAGCCTGACCTCCTGCGGGTTCGCGGAGGGCAAGCCCCGGCCACTGGGCTCTCCCCGGCTGGGCGTGGCCAGCCTGTCCAAGACGGCCGAGTACCGGCCGGCCGGCTCGCCCTCGCAGCGCTGCAAAGTGCACACCCAGAAGGGCGTCCTGCCCGGCCCGGCGCCCCCGCCGGGCACGGACCCGGGCGTGGTGCCCGGGGAGGCCCCGCCGGCTGAGGGGCGCACCCCCCCGGTGGGCATGAGCCCCCGCGTCCTGAAGAAGTCGCTGTCTGCCGGGAGCCAGGGCCCCGCCCACAGCCCCTCCGAAGACAGGCGCCCGGCCGCGGCCCCCCCGGGCTCCCAGGGGGTGGTGAGCACCACCACGGTGACGGTGCAGCAGCCGCTGGAGCTGAACGGCGAGGACGAGCTGGTGTTCACGCTGGTGGAGGAGCTGACCATCAGCGGCGCCCTGGGCGGCCGCCCCGCCAGCATCATCAGCTTCAACAGCGACTGCTCGGTGCAGGCCCTGGCCTCGGGCTCGCGGCCCGTCAGCATCATCGGCAGCGTGGTCAGCGAGGACCTGGAGCGCGGCCCGGGCGCTGGCCCCGTCTCCGAGGTCAGCGTCACGCAGTTCCTGCCCCTCCCGGCGCCGCGGGGCCCGGAGGAGAAGGGCGGCCGGGAGGCGGGCAGCCGGCGGTCCTCCATCAGCTCCTGGCTGAGCGAGACCAGCGCGGGCAGCGAGGGCGAGCAGTCCTGCCACAGCTTCGTCGCGCACGCCTGCTTCGGGCACGGGGAGGCGCTGGCAGACCCGCCGGCCTCGGAGCTCCTGGGCGGCAGCGTCCAGGACACCGCCGGCTGCCGAGAGAGGCCCCGCGCGGGCCCCGATGGCGTGCTCGTCCTGCCCGAGCTGGGGGAGGACTGTCCCCCCAAAGCCGCCATCGCCGCCCCTCAAGGCTGCAAGGTGTCCGCCCTGGGCAAGGCCACGGTCACCATCTCCAACACGGCACACCTGGGTGGCGGCGGGGGGTGCGTCCCCGTGAAGACCAACATCACCGTCTACCCCTGCATCGCCCTGAGCCCCCGGCGCGGCCTGGAGCCCGAGGCGGCCGGCGCCACGGCCCCCCACGCAGCCCCGCCCCCCGAGAGCAAAGAGGCCGGCGCCAGGAAGGAGACGACCTTCACCTTCGAGGACCCGTGGCTGAGACGAGAGGAGGAGGCCAAGAAAGAGACTGCGCAGCCCGGGGAGGACGGAGTGCAGCCCGAGGCGGGCACGGGGCGGGGCCAGACCCGGCGGACGAGCCCCGGCCGCAGGCTGAGCGGCGAGGCGGCCGCCTCCCCCGGGGCGGACGGCGTCAGGAGGGTCGTGGACGGCTGTGAGACGGCCCAGCCCGGCGGTGGGCCCGCCCAGAGCCCCGTGCACGCCCCCAGCGGGAGCCTCAAGTCCAGCAGCCTGCCCAGGGCCTTCCAGAGAGGCAGCCGGCACGAGCTCGACGGGCTCTGCTACCGCTGCGCCCCCGAGACCAACGGCGTGACGCTGGGCGGCCAGGCCTCCCGGGCGGCCCTGGAGCGCAAGGCGGCGTCGCCCAAGCACGGCGTCCCGGCCCGGCCCAAGGGCACCCCGCCGCTGCCCCCCGTCCGCAGGTCCAGCCTGGACCAGAAGAACCGGGCCAGCCCCCAGCACGGCCCCTGCGGCAGCTGCACCGGCAGCCCCTCCAACCAGCCCGCGCCCTTCCCGGCCGGCTTCCCCGACGAGCTGGGTGGCCGGCTGACCGCCAGCAGCAGCAGCAGGCTCTTCAGCGCCAAGCTCGAGCAGCTGGCCAGCAGGACCGGCTCGCTGGGCCGGGCCGGCGCCAGCCACTACGAGTGCCTCTCGCTGGAGCGGGCCGAAAGCCTGGCCTCGGTGAGCGCGCGGCTGCAGGCGGGCAAGGACAGCACCACGCCCCGCGCCGGCCGGAGCCTGGGCCGTGGCAGCGGGGCCGGGGCCGCCTCGCCCGCCGGCCCCGCCGGCCCCCCGCCCGCGGCCGGCGCCTCGCCCAAGGCCGGCCAGTCCCGGATCTCGGCGGTCAGCAAGCTGCTGCTGGCCAGCCCCAAGGCGCGCGGCCTGTCCGCGCCGCCCGCCAAGACGCTCAGCTCCTCCACCAAGTCGCTGCCGCAGTCCGTGGGCCAGAGCTGCGCCGCCCCGGCCGCGGGGGGCGGGCGGCACATGTCCTGGTCCACGCAGTCGCTGAGCCGCAGCCGCGGCGCGGGGCCGGCCGCCCAGCTGCCGCTGCGGGCGGCGAACGGGCGCATCTCCGAGCTGCTCCGGGGCCAGGGCGGCGGGGGCGCGGGGCCCAGGGCGGCACCGCCCCCGCGAGGAGCCGGGCCCGAGGAGGCGCGCGCGGGGGTCCCCGGGGCCCCCGAGGACAAGCCGGCGGCCGCGCCCCCGCTGCCCTCGCCCTACAGCACGGTGACGGCCCCCCGGCGGCCCCAGCGCCGCAGCAGCGGCCACGGCAGCGACAACAGCAGCGTGCTGAGCGGCGAGCTGCCGCCCGCCATGGGCCGCACCGCCCTCTTCTACCACAGCGGCGGCAGCAGCGGCTACGAGAGCGTGCTGCGCGACAGCGAGGCCACCGGCAGCGCCTCCTCCGCCCAGGACTCCGTGAGCGAGAACAGCAGCTCCGTGGGCGGCAGGTGCCGCAGCCTCAAGACCCCAAAGAAACGCTCCAATTCAGGTAGGCGATGGGGGCGGGGACCGGATGGCAGGACACACACAGGCTTTATTGGAGGGGGGCGGGGGTACCCCTGCCGGCTGCTTCCAGAGGGAGGGACGGGAGAGAGAGCGAGGGCTGGGGGACAAGCACCTTGAAGGATAGGGGACGGGGCTCAGGGCACTCAGCACACGCTGATTGGTGATTAGGGACTAAGGAATCGAAGGCTTAGGGTAGGGGTGTCGAACTCAATCAGAGAAGGGGCCAAAATCTAAAATCCAGCCTAAATCGCTGGCCGAATGGTTTACTGAACAGTCATAAACTGTCATTGTGATGGAAAGGCAGCGGAGTGCAGTGATGACAGCGCGGTGCGGGCCACATTGCAAGGCCTGGCGGGACGGATTTGGCCCGCGGGCCTTGTGTTTGACACATGTGGCTTAGGGTATTTGGCAGGTGCTGATGGGTGGTTCAGAGCTCAGGAATGTCTGGCCGCAGGTGGGGTTTACGTCTGTCCATCAACTGGAGGAAGGGAGGATCTCTCAGTAGGCACCCGGGCCCAGTGCACGGGGGGGGGGCATAGGGGCAAAGTGGGGGCGAAGGGTTGAACCCCATGGTGCCTGCCCTGCGGGGGGTGAGGACGCCCAGGCCAGTGGCACCAATACCCAGTTTCTTGGTCCCCAAGCCTGTCCCCTACCAGTTGCACCCAGAACAGCATGGGGGGATTCACTGTGAATCAGACCTACTGCCGGGGCATGAGGCGGCCTCCAGGCTGTGACTGCCCTTGGTCAGCAGCCTGGTGCATGCCCTAAGCCTGTCTCTCCTCGGCTCCCCCACCTAGGCCCAGGCCCAGGCCCCGCAGCGGCTGCGCTCTGACCTGGTGGCTGAAGAAGCCGACCTGGGGCCGGTGGCCCCGAGGCTCTGGGGCTGGGGAGAGTCACGGTGTCATTGCGAGTGCAGTCCCGGTGGTCACATCACTGCGTGGCTCGGCCACGTGGCCACGGGCCCCGAGCGCGGTCGCGGCTCTGTGCTCTCACTGCCTCATGGAATGGCTCGAACGCTCCAATGCACGCACGGTGTTCTTCCACCGCCTTTCACTCGTTTCAGAGGCCGGCATTGGTGGTTTGGGTGGTGCGGGAGCCAGGAGGTGAGCTGTGCTGGGACCCTGTCCTCGGAGGTCCGGTGAGCCTGGGCCTAAAGGAAACAGAACCAAACGGCCAGCGAGGCGCCGGGGCCGGAGGCGGGGCAGCTGCCCGGGTCCCTCTAACCTGACGGGTGTGGCCACGGCGAGGCCTCCCTCGGCTCAGGTGGCTTCCTCTCCCTTACTCGTCGTCACTGCTTCTCTGAAGGAAGCGGCTTTGGATTCCTGCTGGCCGTGTCCGATGCTGGCATTTCTCTGAGCCATGACCCTCCTCGAAGGCGGTGCCTGGCCGGCCACCGCCTCTCGGAGCCGCTCTGGGTCTGCAGGATGTTCATGCTCGGGCGACCGAGGGAAGGGAGCTAGGACGGGGTCGCCAGCCAGTGGTCCGTGGCTGCTGTGGTCCGAGGTCTGAAAGGCTGGCGACAGGAAGGGAGCCAGAAGGCAGCGCTGGGCCGAGCTGAGCTCCGAGCTGTGCGTGGAGGAGGGGCCAGTGCCCTCTCGCGGCTCAGTGACCTCAGACGCTGGAGGGGAGTGCGGTGGGCTGGTCCTGCTGGCCGCGGCCAGAGCCGCAGGAACACGGAGCCGCGGGGACACGGAGCCACGGGGACACGGAGCCGCGGGCAGAGCCGCGGGGACACGGAGCCACGGGGACACGGAGTCCTGGGGACACAAAGCCGCGGGCAGAGCCGCGGGGACACGGAGCCCCGGGGGCACGAAGCCGCGGGGACACGGAGCCGCAGGGACATGGAGCCCCGGGGACATGGAGCCACGGGGACACGGAGCCGCGGGCAGAGCCGCGGGGACACGGAGCCACGGGGACACGGAGTCCTGGGGACACAAAGCCGCGGGCAGAGCCGCGGGGACACGGAGCCCCGGGGGCACGAAGCCGCGGGGACACGGAGCCGCGGGGACACGGAGCCGCGGGGACATGGAGCCACGGGGACACAAAGCCGCGGGCAGAGCTGCGGGGACACCGAGCCCCGGGGGCACAAAGCCGCGGGGACATGGAGCCCCGGGGACACGGAGCCCCGGGGACACGGAGCCCCGGGGACACGGAGCTGCGGGCAGAGCCGCGGGGACACGGAGCCCCGGGGGCACAAAGCCGCGGGGACACGGAGCCGCGGGCAGAGCCGCGGGGACACGGAGCCGCGGGCAGAGCCGCGGGGACACGGAGCCCCGGGGGCACAAAGCCGCGGGCAGAGCCACGGGGACACGGAGACCCGGGGACACGGAGCCGCGGGCAGAGCCGCGGGGACACAAAGCCGCGGGGACACGGAGCCGCGGGGACACGGAGCCGCGGGGACACGGAGTCCACAGCAGGAGGCTTGGGTCTTGCACGGTGTGACCTCAGGGCTCCCATGTTCTGGGTAAGGAGTAGAGCGAGGGGCACAGCACGGTCTCTGAGGCCACAGGCAGAGGGGGAGCTGCTGGTGCGTGGCTTCCTTCCCTCAGACGACCCGTCGCCCGTGAGGCTGGGCCAGCTGTGGGCGGTGACCAGGCCTCTGCCTTTTCAGAGCGTGGTGACGGGAAGTTCCAGGCATGTCTGTGTGGTCGGGGAGAGGGGGCAGCACAGGGGATGCCTCTGCAAGACGCCTGCCATCCATCTGGAGGGAAGGGACAACGTGAGCCGTGCCCTGCCCAGTCCTGGGGGGAGAGACGGTCCAGAGCCCCAGCAGAAGCTGTGGGACTGAGCGGGGCCTGAGGCTACGCAGGCAGAGCGGGAGGAGGCGGGGGGAGGCGTGAAGTTGGAGGGGGGCCCCGGAGACTGAGGCGGCGAGGGGAGCACACGGCCGGCGGCCAGAGTGTGGCCTGGGGGCCAGAGCGTGATGAGAGCAGCGGGTTCTTCGTGGGCAAAGGACGGAAATGAGACGTGAGCCCCCGTCGGGGTGGCCCTGGACAAACTGCAGCTCAGAATCACGGTCGGCACGGCCCTCAGCGACAGGACGCATCCGAGAACGCTCATCAGGGGTTCCGCCACGTGGGCATCACGGGGCACGTGCGCTGCCCAAGCCTGCGGCTCCCGGGCCAGGAGTCTGAGCCGCACGTGGAGCGGGAACACGGCTCAGCCCGCACAGGAGCCGGCGGTGCTGCCAGAGGTGTGAACACCCGCCGTGTGAGGCTGCGTGCTCCAGAGAGCGAGCGCCCACTCTACACGCCGGAGAGCACAGAGCGTGACCACGTTCGCAGGAGCCTGGCGTGTGGCGCTGTGCGTGTGCTGTGCTTTGTGGGACAGGCGGCGTGTAGGCTGTGCACACCGGGTCACCACACGCGTGAGGATGCGTTTCCAGCGCCGGCGCTGTGGTCTCCCCTTCGCCCCGAGGAGACGGTGGTCCCCATGGCCCCCCTCACCTCCTCTGGAACGCCCTCCCAGCACCCACCCAGCCTGGGGCGCCGTGGGGCTGGCTGGCAGGCAGGACACCCTCCGGCCTCTCACCTCTGACGCCTGTGGTCCTGTCCATCACTGGGCTTCATGCTTTTGATTCGTGTCTTCCTGGCCCCACGCCCAGTCGGCAGGGGCCAAGGAGGGGACTCTCGAGGCCAGGACGGACATGCATGTTCCCCGGCACCATGTTCCCGAGGCCACATGTTCTGACTCCGCGTGGCACTCCGGCCCGGACGATGATGTCCAACATGTCAGACTCCCCGGGCCCCGTGCCGCCGGGAGAGCGGCTGGGAGTGGTCAGGGCCCCTTGGGGCGTGATCCTCACCAGCAGCAGAGTGTTGTGACCAGGCGCCAGGCCTCTGACCCTAGGACGCCCCGGTGTGACCTCACTGTGGCCCGTCCCACTGGGGGCCTGGCGGGCTGTGTGAGGCCAGTGTGGGGTGTACGCAGCTCAGGGGGGACTGGAGGCAGGGCTCCCCGAGCCTGGGGAAGTGAGGCCCAGCGTTAAGGGGGTTGGTGCCGAGCGCTCGGCGAGGGCGCTGGGTGTCCCAGACTCTCCTCTGCTGCCGGCTCCGGGCACGGCCCACCGCGGGCCTCACAGAAAGCCTGTGTAAAGATGGACGTTGAGAGATGAACTCTGGGCTCGTCCCCTGCAGGTTCCCAGAGGCGGAGGCTCATCCCCGCGCTGTCCCTGGACACGCCCTCGCCCGCCAGGAAGCCGGCGCCCGGCGCGGGGCTGCGCTGGGTGGACGGGCCGCTGCGCAGCGCCCAGCGCGGCCTCGGCGAGCCCTTCGAGATCAAGGTGTACGAGATCGACGACGTGGAGCGGCTGCAGCGGCGAAGGGGGGGCGGCGGCAAGGTGGGGCTCCTCCCGCACGGGTGGGGTGCCCCCGGCAGGGATGGGCAGCGCCCCGAGGGGGCTCGGGCCCAGGGAGACGCCCTGCCCGCTTCCCGGTGGACGGGGCTCGGTCAGAACACAGGGCCCGGGGGGGTTCCACGTTTCCCGTCTAACCCTCCTCAAGGCTCCGGGCTGGGAGCCCGTGGTGCTGGGGGCCTCTCTGGCTCCGGCTCACAGTGCAGCTGCTGTAAATTGAGCAGGTGCCCGGGGTGGCCTTGCCTAGGGTGGGGTGTCTGAGCTGAGAGTGGGCTGGGGTGGCCCCGGTCCCCCCCATTTGCCGTGACCAGTCCTTTCCTCCTCCCCACTCACTTCTTCCTACCGCCCACCTCTCCCACTTCCCCTCTCACCTCCTTCCTTTCCCCCACCTCCTGTCCCTCCCCCCACCTCCCTCCTCTCCCCCCCTCCTTCCTCTCCCCCACTCCCTCTCACCTCCTGCCTCTCCCCCACCTCCTGCCCCTTCCCCCCACTTCCCTCCTCTCACCTCTCCCTCTCACCCCCTTCCTCTCCCCTCACCTCCTTCCTCCCCCACCTCTTGCCCCTCCCCCACCTCCCTCCTTTCCCCCCATCTCCCTCCTCTCTCCTCATCTCCCACCTCTTCTCTCCCCTCCCCTCCCGCCTCTCCTCCCATCTCCCTCCTCTCCCCCCACTTCTCACCTCTCCCCCTCACTTCCCGCTTCTCCCCCCACCTCCCGCCTCTCCCCCCTCACCTCCTCCCTTTCCCCCCACCTTCCTCCTCTCCCATCTCCCACCTCTCCCCCCTCCTTTCCCCCTCACCTCCCGCCTCTCCCCCACCTTCCTCCTCTCCCCCCACTCGTCACCTCTCCCCCCACCTCCCCAGGAGGGCGGGGGCTTCAACGCGAAGCTGAGGACCCTGGAGCGCCGCCAGCAGAGGATCGCCGAGGTCCGGGCCAAGTACGAGTGGCTGATGCAGGAGCTGGAGGCCACCAAGCAGCACCTGATGCTGGACCCGGACCAGTGGCTCAGCGAGTGTAAGGCCGGGGCCGCGGACGTGACCGTCACAGCAGCAGAGCTCAGCTCCTCCTGGCACCGGGCCTCGGGCCTCTGAGCCCCAGAACGAGCCTGTGTGACCTCCCTGTAGCCGGGGTGGCTGCCGTGAGCGGGGTGGCCGAATCCCAGGGCCTCGGTGCCCATCACACAGAGACGGGCACGCATAGAGGGTGGGGCGTGGGCAGCAGGAGGGCTGCGAGCATTGTTCTAGCAAGGTGACAGCTCTGGTCTCAGCCCGGAGCCCCTGCAATGAGGTTCCCCTCCTGCTCCCGGCCACGGAAACCGGCAGGGATTCCCGGGCTCCGCAGGGTAGAGCCGGTCCTGGGGAGGCTGCAGGCTGTGCAGAGGCGAGGCGAGCATGTTAGCGAGCACAGTCACACGCAGCGGTGTTTCCCCTCGGTGGGAAGCCGGGGATGGGTGGCCGCCTAGAGCAAGTCTGTCTGTGAGCGCTGGGTTCCCTGGTCCTCACCGTTCCCTTTGCCACAAACAAAGCCCAATCTGGCCCCGAAAGGCTGCACCGATTGGGGACCCGATGGGGGAAGACAGCGTGCGGGGCAAAGCGTCTGCCCTGACAGCTCCTTCCCGGGCCCCCAGCCCCGCGCCTCCCCCCGCACATGCCACCCCTCGCCCTGCCCGGAGGGGGAAGAGGGCGGCCCTGGGCTGAGGGAGGATGGGGTGGATGGAGGTGGGGGAAGCAGCGAGGGCCAGAGCCCTTCTCACTGGCTGGGGGGCAGTGGCGGGCGAGGCGGGCTCTGGGTGATGGGCAGGGCTCTGGCCAGGCCGCGGGGCCCGGTCCCACCCGCCTCCCTCTCTCCCCGCAGTCGACCTGGAGCAGGTGTGGGAGCTGGATTCCCTGGAGCACCTGGAGGCGCTGGAGTGCGTGACGGAGCGGCTGGAGAGCCGCGTCAACTTCTGCAAGGCCCACCTCATGATGATCACCTGCTTCGACATCACCTCCCGGCGCCGGTGAACCAACGCCGCCCAGCCCCGGCCCCGGCCCGCAGCCAGACCTGCAGCCAAGCCCCCGCTCCAGGCTCCCCGGACCCGCAGCCAGGCCCATGGGACCCACAGCCAGGCCCCCGGACCCACAGCCAGGCCCCCTGGGACCCACAGCCAGGCCCCGCGGACCCACAGCCAGGCCCCCCGGGACCCACAGCCAGGCCCCCCGGGACCCACAGCCAGGACCCCCGGGACCCACAGCCAGGCCCCCCCAGTACCACAGCCAGGCCCCCCAAGACCACAGCCAGGCCCCCCCAGTACCACAGCCAGGCCCCCCGGGACCACAGCCAGGCCCCCCAAGACCACAGCCAGGCCCCCGGACCCACAGCCAGGCCCCCCGGGACCCACAGCCAGGCCCCCTGGGACCCACAGCCAGGCCCCGCGGACCCACAGCCAGGCCCCCCTGAGACCACAGCCAGGCCCCGCGGACCCACAGCCAGGCCCCCCGGGACCCACAGCCAGGCCCCCTGGGACCCACAGCCAGGCCCCGCGGACCCACAGCCAGGCCCCCCGGACCCACAGCCAGGCCCCGCGGACCCACAGCCAGGCCCCCCGGGACCCACAGCCAGGCCCCCCTGGGACCACAGCCAGGCCCCCCCAGGACCACAGCCAGGCCCCCCGGGACCCGCAGCCAGGCCCCTGAGACCCACAGCCAGGCCCCCCGGGACCCGCAGCCAGGCCCCCCGGGACCCGCAGCCAGGCCCCCCTGGGACCCGCAGCCAGGCCCCCCGGGACCCGCAGCCAGGCCCCCCCGGGACCCGCAGCCAGGCCCCCCCGGGACCCGCAGCCAGGCCCCCCCGGGACCCGCAGCCAGGCCCCCCGGGACCCACAGCCAGGCCCTCGGACCCACAGCCAGGCTCCCCGAGCCTGAGCCAAAGACTCTGGACTGGGAGCCTGAGCCCCCCAGACTCACAGCCAGGCCCCCCTGGGACCCGCAGCCAGGCCCCCCCGGGACCCGCAGCCAGGCCCCCCCGGGACCCGCAGCCAGGCCCCCGGGACCCGCAGCCAGGCCCCCCGGGACCCGCAGCCAGGCCCCCCGGGACCCGCAGCCAGGCCCCCGCTCCAGGCCCGTGCAGGCGGCGCTGAGACCACGGAAGGATGAAGGTCGGAGGCAGGTCTGAGTGACGCTGAGCGGTGGGTTCCCGTAGGACAGGCGCCAACGCCGGACACGTGTGCGAGGAGAGAGCGGCGGGAGGCCAAGGGAAGCGGAAGCCCCGTAAAAGAGCACTTTGAGGAACTTTCTGGAACCTGGATCTGTGGGTCTGTCCATGAGAACCGCTGGTAAAGGAGGCCGAGGAGGGCAGGCGGGCGTGGGCCGCTGTCGGAGAGCCGAGAGGCCGCCGGACCGTTACCCAGAGGACTGACCAAGTGCCTTCAAATCTCCCGTCACCCGGACGTCCCGTCTCCCCCGTGTGCGCAGACGGTGCTGGTCGAGACGCAAACAGCGGAATGAGCGAGCCGCCCTGGACTGCCCCCGCTCGCTGCACCCGGTTCCTGGCTGTTTCTGAGTGATCGTGTGTGTAGAGCCGTTTCCTCGTCGGTGTTGCTCGCGAATAAATGTTAACCGTCTCTCACGGCTCCTGGCGGAGACCCAGGAGGTGGCCGCGGCCGGGGGCCCGGGGGCGCCTTGCTGGAGAGGAGCGAGGACTCAGTGTCTCTAAGGCCCGCGGGTCCGTGGGGGCCGGTCCGCGGCGACCCTGCACGCCCTCCCGCGCACTCAGGTTCCGTTACCGATCGCCCGGGTGGTCAGGGCCCTGCAGCACTTTGCATTTTCATCCCAAAGACTCTGGACTGGGAGCCTGAGCCAACACAGGAGCCGTCCTTCTGGGCTGGAGGATCGTGTTGTGGACTGCAGCAGGGATTCCGCCGACCTCCGAGGCCTCCGGGCGTGGACGCGCCGCTTTAGACTCATGGGGAGGGAAACGTCCGGCCCGCGGGCCATACGCCATGGGGGGTCATGGGCCTGGCCCTGCGGAGGCAGGAGGGGTGAGTGAGTTACACGTAGGACCGAGCAGAATGGGCTGAGTTTTAGGTTGATACTTGTGTGTGGCCCACAGGGGATGAGATAAACATGCAAATGGTTGGAAACAGTCCCTTCTTGCTCCCGCTTGAGAGCAAGAAGGGACTGGGGGCCGCACACACATCCTGTCCTGACTGCTGCTCAGACATAGACGGCCCCGGTCCCCCGGGGCCCACAGCCCCTCCCCGGAAGGCCGGCCTGTCCCCGCCTGGGTGCCCGAGCAGTTCCCGTCACACCTGTGAGCACAGCCCTTTGTGCGGATGGACGGACGGATGGACAGGGCTCGGCTCCGGGGATGCTGAGCTGCCTTCTCGGGTGAAGATGCTCACCCTGCCACACGCCCGAGCTCATTACTGTACCCGCTGTAGGGGAGGAAACGGAAGCCAGAGTGTGGGGGACCGTCCAGCAGGGAGCAGGGCACCCCTGCCTTCTGGACGCCTCCTCCCCTCATCCCTGCCTTCGTCCCAGGAGGTGCCCAGGGTTTGCAGAAAGGTGTGCCCTCCAGCTCAGCGTATCTAGGAGTCCCCTCTCCGCCCCGCAGCCGGGCCCCGGGAACCAGGGCCTGTGTGCTCCTCGTCCGTGTGGTTCTGGGTACAGTGCCCACAGCTCAGCCCACCTGTGTGTGGGTCACGCCGAAGCCGGTGGGTCCTCAGGCCGAGGAGCAGGGCTGGGGCCGGAGCCGGCGCTGCAGTGACCAGGGCGAGGCGGTCCCGCCCCCTCCCGGCCTCAGCGACAGAGAACCGCGAAGGCAGGGGTGTCATCGCCACGCGTGACGTGGGACCGGAGACGTGGACTTGAATGAGCGCTCAGAGGCAGAGCCTGGATTCCGTGCCTGAAGACTGCCCGGCCCCCACGGTTCAGGGTGAAGAGGAAGCAGGAGCAGCAGGACCTGCCGTGGCCCCGGAGCGGGAGCGATGCTGTTGCCGGGGACGAGGCCACCATGCGCCCCGCGATGGCGTTCGGTGCGGTGGGCGATGTCGCTCTCCCGGGAAGTCTGTCCCCGCCTGCGAGTGGGTGTCTGATCGGGGCCCTCAGTGCCCCCGGTTCCCTCGGAAGCCCCCTTTGGCCTCCTCCCTGGCTGTGGTCATCTCAGCGGCTGTTCCTGGCGCAGGGCCTGGTGTGAAGGCCGGGTCGGCCCCGTGCTGGCAGGCGGGCGGGCGGGGACCAGGCACAGCCCGGTGTGGGGCCCGGAGGCAGGAACACGTCAGCTGGAGCCGAAGGCTGTGCTCCCGGTGGGCGGCCCAGCCCCCGTGCCCACACCATGCAGGACGGCGGTTTCAGAGCGGACAGGCGGGCACCTGTGCTGGCTCCGGTCACGCTGAGCGAGGAGCGCTCCTTCGGGCTTCGGTTCCCATGCTGATCCGGCCTGGCCACCATCACCTTTCTCCGGGTTCCACGTGAGGCGGCCGTCAGCCGGGGCGGGCGGCTGTCTGTCGTGGGCCCCCCTGACCCCTTGCTTCCCAAAGACCGAGGCAGCGGATGCTCTTCAGTCCCTTGCTCAGTCCCCTGAGACGTGGCTGAGGAGCTCTCCTCCCACTGAGACCGGACGGCCCGTGGATTCGCCGGCCGCTCCTCCCGCTGGGCACCGGCCCCTCCTCGAGCACGTCCGGAGGGGGTCCTCACTGTGAAAGGCCACGTGCTTTAGTCTGGAAACTGGGCCAGAAGAAACGCGTGGGGAGTTCTGTCCACGAGCAGCCGATGCTGGATAAACTGCCCGCCCCTGTCCCTGGAGCTGCCCACGGCGGAGGTGCATCTCAGCAAGCCGCACGGAGCCCCGTCTGCCAGGCCGGCCCCGCCAGCTCTCCTCCGGGCGGTGGGGCAGCACAGGACGCGCTGCCAGGGCCTGGCGTGGGGGGTGGGCAGCACTGGAGGTGGAAGCAGTTCCTTTGCGTTGTCATCTCTCTCCCTCCTCCTCCTTCAGCAAATCCGTCAACATCCATAGAAACCCCTAAGTTGCGTCGCTCAGCGGTCTTCCTGACAAACACACATTTTTCCTATTATAAACTGCTTATCGTTTCCAGATAAAAACAGGGCTCCAATCCAGGGGACGTGCTTCCCATTCAAACGCATCTTCTCCAAAAAAAGTTATTTGAAGATTCTCAAGACGCCGGTTGAATCCACCTCTAAACAAACACATCCCGCCTTTGGGTGGTCGGGCTCAGAACCAGGGGATGTCACGGTGGGGGCACGGGGCGGCTGGAGGCGGCCAAGCCTTCCTTGTAGGTAGCCACCATCCCCCACACAGAGCCGTCGCGTCCGGAAATCAGCAGTCGGACATCCCCCAAGGGGACATGGATTGGAGAAATGACCTTCGCAGTGAAAAAGGCTCGTTTTTGCATCCCCCATTCTGCTAACCAACCCCCATCGTCACCTCGATGGAGGCGGCTGTAGCTTACTTGTACTGTACGTCAGGATGTGGCTCTGGAGCATGGCTGTTTCACCCCTTATTTGTGCCTCTGCATCCGTGTGCCTGTGGTGGGCCCGCCGAGGCTGTTCCCCACCCTTTGACAAGTGGGGGGCCGAAGGAGGAAGGAGAAATAACTAAACCAGGGGAACAGGGTTAGGGCCCAGTCCCACCAGCACGGGCTCAGCTCGAGGCCTGAGCTGCTCCTATGTGAGAGCCAATGGGGAAGAGGTACCTTCATTCTGAGTTGGACGCTAAGCGGCTTGGACGTCTGCCTCCGTGGGCCCGGCGGGGAGAGGACCCGGCTGGTTCGAAGCTGCAATCTGGAAAGCAGTGGCAGACAGAGTTAGGGTCCTGTGTCCCCCGAGAGGCCCCTGGTGCTCGGGGCTGGGGGGTGGGAGAGCAACGAGAGCTCCTTACCTTCCAGCGCCGCCTTTTCCCGGAGGGAGGCTTACAACTGAAGAGCGTGGGGTCTGGGCCCCTCCTGGGCCGGGGCAGAGGCTGGGCCGGGCTCACTGCAGGGGCGGGTGGCAGGAGGGAGCAGCGCTGGGGTGAGACACGGCCTGGGGCCTGGTGGGGTCTCAGAGCTGCCCCCGGGGCCGTGTGACGAGAAAGCGGGTAACAGGTGGGTAACGAGCTTTGGAGAAGGGAGAGCTGCGGTGGCGGGAGC